AGGCTTTCTATATATTATCTACTAGAGCTCTAGATATATATATAATCTTAGTTAAGTTCTAGAGGATCGAGTTAGAGAGTTAGCTTATTTCCGTAAAGAAGCGTTTATAGTTATATAGATACTCTCTAGCTCTATCGTTCCTAATTATATCTACGTAATCCTTAATTTTCGGGACTATTTTAATTAGTTATTTCCGGATAGTAGTATCTATACTAGATTCTCGGGATATACTAGTACTATCTCGATCGGCTAGAGATAGATATACCTATAGTATCTATCCTAGGAGATATTAAGCAGTCGCGATTTAGTTAAAGGTAGCTTAGCGAATAATCCCCTTCTAAGAAGTAGGATTAAGAATACTTTAGTAAGAGCCTCGAAGAGATTTAGCTATATTAGCTAGTAAGATTATTAGAATATTACCGGTCGATAGCGATACTAGTTATAGTATACTAGGTATTAGCTAGCGAGAGGGTTCTAGGGGTAGTATAAGGGATTCGGAGTATAGGATATAAGCCTTATATAGGTTTTCCTATATATCGAATTCTATCGGGAGAGGATTATATACTTCGGTATTCCGTAAGTTAATAAGGATTATAGTTTATTTAAATAAGAAAGCTTTTATTTCTAATTAGATATCTCTCTTCTAGTTTTACTTCCGGTTACTTAACTACTAGTAGATTAGATCTCTTCTAGAAGGATACCCTATATACTAACTATAGTAGAGTAGAGTTTTTTTTAGGGTTTAAGCCCTCTCTTATATTATTATATAGTTTTCGAGATTTTTAGTATAGTAAGAAGAGGGTTACTTAATACTATAAGTAGTCGGTAATTTAAGCTAGATCTTTAGGGATTATTTAGTCTCGAGAGCTTAGTAAGTATAGTTCTAAGTAAGCTCTCGCTCTCGAGTAGTTAAGTATAGAGGCTTAGCTAATATAAGGATTTACTACTAGATAAGATCTAGAGGGTAGATAGGATATAGTTCTTCTAAGTATAGCTATAGATATAACTATATATATATAGAGGACTAAGGGTCCTTATATAACCGAATAGAGCTATATAGTAAGGTTATAGCTTATCTAGCTCTAGTTATCGCGAAAAGGAAGGATTAGGATACCTAAGATAGCTATAGGCCCGTGATTATACTACCTAGATAGCTAGATAGTTCGGATTCTCCTTTTTTAGGAGTATAGTAATCTAAGTAGAAAGAGTTTTATTCCTTCTACGGAATAAGTACTTAGCTTTATCTCTATCCTAAGTATAATTTATATAGGATCCGTTAAACTAAGGCTTCCTATCGAAGATTAAGATCTAGTAAGACTTAAATAGATCCTTCTTCTTACTATAAAAGAGATAGGACTTACTAGATAGCGTCTTAATACCGATTTATTAAATAAGTATATATCGAAGATATAATTAATCCTTATAATCTTTCGGGCTATAGACCTAGTTAATATTATATATATACTTAAGCTAGTATATAGTAAGATTATCGCTCTTCTTAAAAGAAAGTAAAAGGGGATTAAACTATAAGTTAAGATCTATATCTATATACTAGAGTTAGTAGATATATAGTATCGCGAGAAAGCGAAGGGGGTCTATATATTATAGATAGAGGAATCTTATTATTATCTACTTCCTCTTCGGAATCCTCGGCTATCTTATCCTTACTATCGCTATTATTATCATTATTATTATTATTATTACTATTATTATTATTACTACTATTATTATTACTATTACTATCGCTATTACTATTATTATTCCTATTATTATTACTACTACTATAGAGATAATAAGTAGTCTCCTTAATATCGGATAGATATATAGGAATATCGGAGTTAATAGGAATAGCGCTACTCGGAGTATTACTAGCCGGAATACTAGATTATAGTTAGCTCTGCTCGAGAGATCGAGTTAGTATAGATATATCGTCGGAAGGCGTACTATAAGTTACCGAAGTATATATTAATACTAAAGAGAGATTATTATTAGTATTAAATAGATATAAATAGCGAAGGACTTATCTATATTAAAACTAGGAGTAGATTTTAAGTACTAGGAAGAGAAGTATATTATAAGTTATAGGAAGAAAGAGAAGCTAAGCATAAGTATTTAAGTAAGAGACTTATCTTATTCTAGGAGTTACTATATCAAGGAAGATTTTTTTAATATAGATATAAATTACTAGATTTAGTAAATATTAGAAGGCCCTATAAAGCTATAAGGATCTAATCCTATCCGTTCTTTATATAGATTAATACTATTACTTAATTTTTATAATAGTCGGCTTCGCCGATCGATTTCCTTTATCTAAGTTCTACTATTCTTATAAGTATAGTACCGATTAGTAGGAATTCGGGTTAGAAATTATAGGAATTACGGGAATTCTAACTCGGACGTAGCTCTTTCGATAGGAGAGCGCGAGCGTAAGGATTTTCGTAGCGCGTTTCTTTATAAGAGATTCCCGACCGCGAGGGCGCGGTCGAATCTAGTAGGGGAGGATATAATCATAGGCCCGTAGCTACCTTAGGTATCCTAACCCTTCCTTTTCGCGATAACCAGAGCTAGATAAGCTATAACCTTACCGTACGGCTCTGTTCGGTTACGTAAGGACCCTTAGTCCTCTATATATATATAGTCACGTCCGTAGCTATACTTAGAAGAACCATATCCTATCTACCCTCTGGATCTCACGGGTTGGTCTGAGTTATTAATCTTTGAGATATCTGTAATGCTGGTACGCAATATGTAAAGATAGTAATATTCGAGAAAGCCAAGAAAATATTGTAGCGCTTAGGAATAGGCTATGAAAGGACCCTGGATCCTGAGTACACAATAAGGCAGGCCATGACGGAGAGGATGATACAGGTTTTGGATTAGTCACGTATCGCGAATTCGTCGAGCCTCGACGTAGTCTTGAGCCATAAACTACTATCAACGCTAATTGTGTCTCGTTATGTCTCGTCAGAGACACTACAACAGTAGTTTAGGCTAACTTCTTTGGGATATACGCTTAGGGGGGGGGGGAGCCTCATATAATAGTATTCTTTTTTTCCCTAGTGGGAGAGGCGTTCTGCCATAGCGGTCTGCGAAGTACAAATCATGTGACTTACGATCCATCAACCTGGCTTTTACGGCCGCGACGCTAGCCCGTAATTGGCTAGACTCGACGGATCTAGCTGCCAGTTGATACCACTAGCGACGATACTACTAGCTACAGCCTACGATGCTGGCTGCGTTCCTGGCTGCGTTCCTGGCTGCATTCCTAGCTGCGTTCCTGGCTGCGTTCCTGGCTGCATTCCTAGCTGCGTTACTGGCTACGGATCTGACTGCGATACTGGCTGCGGATCTGGCTGCGATACTGGCTACGATACTGGCTGCGATACCGATTACGTTACTGGCTATGTTCCTGGCTGCGTTACTAGCTGCGTTCCTAGCTGCGTTACTGGCTACGGATCTAGCTTAGATACTGGCTGCGGATCTGGCTGCGTTCCTAGCTGCGTTATTGGCTACGGATCTGGCTGCGATACTGACTGCGGATCTGGCTGCGTTGCTGGCTACGGATCTAGCTTAGATACTGGCTGTGGATCGGATCTGGCTGCGGATCTGGCTGCGATACTGGCTGCGATACTGGCTGCGTTACTGGCTGCGTTACTGGCTACGGGTCTGGCTGCGATGCTGGCTGCGATGCTGGCTGCGTTCCTAGCTGTGTTCCTAGCTGCGTTCCTAGCTGCGTTCCTAGCTGCGTTCCTGGCTGCGATGCTGGCTACGATGCGAGCTCGGCGTATAGGATTTAGAATGTTGTCGTGGCCTCTGACGAGGCACATTTTCAGTCCTAAGACCACTTTGGTCCTAGGACAGCTAGTATCACATACTCAATGTAGTGGGATCGATCTCTATGATGAAATCATCTCATCCTCTATTTCACTTTGAATGCGGCGAAACCCATGCACGCATCGCGACTGCATTCGAAGGAAATTACCCAATCTGGTCGGAGTCCAACTATCAACTATGATGTGTGGCAGGAGCTTTCGGAAAATGTGTTCGCAGCAACACTATTCTCTTGGAGAAACCATCAGTACTTTGCATCTAAATGGATGATAGACAGGTCGTATGAGCAGATCGATAGAAAATAAAGACCTCACAACTGTTGCAGTATGGCAGATGAATATATTTTTTTTGATAGGAACCTAATACATACGACCATAAGTGTGGAGAATAGGGCTTCCCGTCCGCTCAGCCGTACTTAAGGCATACGCCGGCCGGTTAGTAGTATGGTGGGTGACCACATGCGAATCCTGGCTGTTGTATGTCTTCTTGATTTTGGTTCTTCAACTTATGTATGTCTTGTACGACTCAGGAATTACTGCTCTGTCTTGTAACTCTGCTTCATATTTATGATCACCTCTACTTACACTAAAGCTTCTTAGTCTTGGCCTGCGATTTGGGTCGATTTGAAGTGATCATAGCCGAGCCTGATGCCTGGCAGAACAATCGGAATGGCTATAATTACGGTGTGATATAATTCTGTCTCACGTTGTTTTTGAAATAGCCGTGCGGAAGTCTCACCAAAGACAGGGTGAAGAGACTGATCGCCCGCTTCGCTACGAAAACAAAACATATTTCGACAGACGATGCGGATACTCAAAAGTCGATTGCCATTCGATTGGCGTGAGCGGACCTTATCATGCTAGAGATGCAGACACTGAGGCAGACACCGAGGATCGCAACAATAGAGCTTCGAGAATGAATCATATGAAGGGTATTCGTTCAATCTCCAGAGTTGGGAAGTTCGGGTAAGACAGGACAACAGATTTCCCACACGTCAGGTTCTTCTTCTGTTGCTCATAGATGATGCGATTTCAATGGTGTTTGTCGTTGTGTACGCCAGCATAATTCCTCAAAATTTGAACCCCATTTGTTTTTGACAACGAACGGAAAGAGATGCTCATGAAGTCCCAAAATCAGATATGCGGCAACGAGTATCGATGCATGTGGTTTCACAGCCAGTCCAGGAATTCTGGGACAAAATAGCTGACAACGATACCAGCACCCGCACGGAGAATGCCCTCTGTGCTTTCAAAAGCCATCGTTTTCAAGTCAAAGACCCCTGCCTTTGCTCCCGCGTGGATCATTGCAAATTCACCACTCACCTGATACGCGGCAACGGGCATATCTTGCGCGAGGTCCTTAGCATCGCGGATAATATCCAGATAACTGCTTGCAGGTTTGACCATAATGATGTCCGCACCTTCCGCAATGTCTCTTTGGATGGCTCGACGAGCCAAACCTCGACCGCCTGGGGGAAGTTGGTAGCATCGACGATCTCCGAACGATGGACACGAGCCAGCCGCGTCTCGGAAGGGCCCGTACAGGCAGCCGCTGAATTTAGCGCTATATGACATGAGTAGGACCCGATGAGCCAGTCCGGCTTCGATCAATTTGAGCTTGATGGCGCGTACTCGTCCATCGTTCATGTCGGAGGGCGCGACACAGTGGGCGCCGGCAACGGCGTACGCGAGGGCGACGTCGGATATACGATCCACAGACTGAGCGTTGTCTAGAGAGCCATCTTCTCGCAGGATACCACAATGCCCGTGCGACGTGTATTCGCACAGACACACGTCGGTTGTGATGTAGAGCTGGGGAAAACGTGAGCGAAGAAGGCGGATGGCCTGGATAACTGGGCCGGCTGGGTCGTCGGCTGCCGTGCCGAGCGCATCTTTAGCGGCGGGATGTAGTGGCACACCGAAAAGAATGACAGATCGAAGCCCCTTGCGCACGAGGGGCGCCAGGAATGGCACGAGACGATTCACGCCCCGGCGATACTGGTTCGGCAAGGACGGGATCGGAGTCTCCTCGTCGGGGTTATCGGTGATGAAGAGTGGGTAAATGAGCATTTCCTGTGGTCGCATTGTTAGCGATGACTCACTGCACGGACCGGGACGCAGGGTATGTTCTCTTCTACCTTGGTCAATTGCCTTTCGGCCTGCCATGTCCGACTGAGCGGGTGACTGTATCCCGCGTGAAGCTGGCTGGAAATATCGCCGGAGATGCTGACGCTGGTGACACTGGTAGCATTGGTGCTGGCATAGGAGCGAGCAGTCCGTGATCGGGCAAGAGAGATTTGCGAAGCACGGTCGTCGGGATTGGCATCGCGAAACGCGATGTCTGAGACGAGATTTGAGAATGACATGATTGAAGAAGGCTTGTGGAAGGAAAGGAAGAATAGAACACGTGAAAATCACTGGGCACGGTCTTGTGACCAAAATAGACACCACGAGATCGAACTGAAGCACGGCAGTCGCTGGTAAGAGAGGGCGTGAGGTCGTAAGGTCGTGAAAAGCAATGGCCCTGTTGACTTGAGTGGCTTGAAATTTGAGATATGTACAGTTCAAGTCCAATGTCCAAAGGCGGAGGGGAAGGAGGCGAATGCTGCCAATCTCCAGTTTAAGCGCCCGACAGCACCTGGAAAAACGATAATCCGATCACAGACTTTGGATCCGGTCAGCCGACTTGCCTGACCTTGTGATTGGTGATGATCATGCCTCGGTTGGTGACCAGACAGTACTGGTGCACTAGTAATAGTGTTACTACTGCATTATTATGTGCCGGGCTGATACGATCCTCATCAATCTTCCACAACTCTCCCAATACATATGAATTTCCAGTAGTACCCAATACTTGGGCAAGCCCCTGCGCTATTGCTCAGATAGAGGAAGTAAAAGCCCAGGGCCTGGTTTTTAAGCCGACGTCTGCCATGTACATGTGAAATACAGTTCGTCCATACGTTCGTAAATATGAAAGAGCGCTCAAGCGTCAGCTCAACTTCCTACTATGCTTGGCTCGCAAGAATTTCGACCTCGTGGCACCCGTCAGTAGTTAATTTGGGGGCTCGTTATACTTTCATATATCCCAGAAAGAAATTATCGCTTAGTAAAGTATTTCTAATATACTATCTAGAGTGCTGATATCACAGCGCGACCACGAAGGAGGGGATTAATTATCGTGACGCGGCCACGGATGAATCACGTGCGGAACGCTAACGGATCGATGAAATAGGTTACAGGGTTATAGGGGTTTACGTCGATCCTACGAGTAATTTTTTACTACCGGTAGGGAATGGAAGGGAACGGTATACTAGACCTTTTTAGGACTTTTTTAAGTAGGCCCTAAAGATAATAAGCTCGTAGGAAGAGGACTATACGATTACTATATCCCTATAAGCTTTAAAACTAGAAGAAAATAGTAATTACTAGTTAAGTATAGAATTTAGCGAATCTTAGTAGAAATTAAGACCCCTATTATTACGGCGCGACCTGCTAAGGCGCGGTCGCGGGAGAATCATATACGGAACGCTAACGAATCTATCCGGGTTATAGCCCTAAGGATACGGGCCAGGTATATAGGAACTATATATATAATAATCGTAGAAGGGAGGAAGAACTCCGATCTTTAAGATTTAGTCTTTGAATTTAAGCCCTTCTAGACTTCGATCCTTTACCTAGTTAATAGTCCTAGTTACCCTACGATCCTAATCCTAATAATTACTAAATCTTCTTTTTAACTACCTAAAGGAAAGATATCTAACCTACCGACTTATCGGCGTTCTACCTATCTTATAGCCGCTAAATATTCTAAATACTATACTAAGATATAGAACCTATAAGCTAGTAAGAGTCTGACTCTACGGATTTCTACTAGTACTCTCCTTAGCTCTACTAGCGAGACTATTCCTCTTATATCTAGTCCCGGATCTCCTATACTAGGAGATCCTAATATACTAGAGTTACTCTAAGCTAGGATCTACTAACTAGAATAAGAGATAATATTCCTATAGTAGAATATAACTAAACCGGAACTCCTAGTTATATCTTAATCTTAATATAGTATAGAGATTAAGCTTAATTATACCTTCTATTAGTTAAGCTCCTTCTTCTCCCTCGAATAGTATAACTAGTAGCTTAATAAAATTAAGTATATCTTCGACGTAAGTCCTAATTATTTCGCTAATAATTTATACTAAATCCCTATTAGGTTCTTTATACTTAAATCTATCTAATAGGCCTAATAGACTAACTATTAGAAGACCGAATTCCTCTATATCTATTTTATCTAGTCTAACTTTATTAACTAGACTCTAGAGTTTATTTAAGAGGACTAATTTACCGATACTAATATTATAGAAAAATATTATAGTATCTAGTAGCTTCCTAACTAAGACTCCTAAGTATTTTATAACTATCTTTAATTAATCGAAAACTATATATATCTTTAGGAAAAGAAGCGAGCTCTCGGATACTATACTAAGCTCTATCCTTTCCTTAAAAACGAACTTAAGATATTATATTAGAATAATCTATCTAATAACTAAACTAATATAGTTTCGGTAGCGATCTATATCTAGGATAGCTATAGTTTCGGTAGAATAGAAGGCGATTATATAGCTAAATATAACTCTAAGAAATATTATAGGGGTCTTATAACCTCGATCTCCTAATCGGATCCGCCTAAAAAATAGAAATCCTCTAATACTTCCGATTAGATAATATATCCTAACTAGACTACTCTTAGAATATTATCGCGATATAATTAGTCCTCCGACCGGAAGGATTACTTATATATTACTTATTTCTAATATAATAAGAAAGGATATTATATCTCTAGCTATTCTTAAGAATAAAAATCTAGCTAGAACGCCCGGATTAATAAAATTATAGAGGAGCTAATCTATTCTCTAGAAAATAATAGTAAGTTAGAGTAGACTCTATATCTCTGACTCTTTAGTCTATTATAGAGATTCTTCCTATAATCTAGATAGCTATATAGATCTAATAAGATATAATTATAGTTAGCTTTAATACTAGAGCTAGTATTAATATAATTAATCTTAATTTTATAAGGATATATAAGCTTAACTAGGTATTCCTCTATATCCTAGGACTCTATAACTTTTAGGACTATTTTAGTAATACCGAAGATATATATTAACTCCTAATTACTACTATAGATAGCTATAGCGCTATCCGGATATAGAGTATTAACTATTATATAGTTATATAGAAATATAGACTCCCTATACTTCTCAGAATACCTAGATTAAGTATCTAAGGAATTATCCTCGATATAGGTATATATTAATAGTACTTTAGGATAAACCGGAAAAACATTAAGTTATTCTCTTCCTACTAGTTTATAGAATATCTTTATAATAAAGTATATATCTTTACTATTATCCTATACTAGATAATATCTAACTTCGATAAAGATAATTAACTAAGTATACTATCCTCTTACGCTATTAAGGGTTTATCCGAAATACTACTAGATCCGAAAGGAATTAAAGCCTAGCCTCCTAAGTTCTAAGACTTTATAGATCTCTATTCGGCCTAGAAGGCTAAGACTCTACTATATTATAAGAAAACCGACTATATAATCGATTTACTCCTAGATAAGTCTCTATCCTATAGACTAATCTATCTATTATTAAGGACTAAGTTAAAAGAATTATAAGAGTATATTCGAGTTAATCTTAAAAATAGGAGAATCTAACTATCTAAAAGTCCTATAGATATATCTATCCTTTTTATTCCTAAGAAGAATAGTAGCCTCTATCTCTATATTAACTACTAAGGACTTAACTATATTTCGGTAAAGAATTATTACTTCTTATCTCTTATTATAGAAATCCTTAATAGACTTACGAGAGCTATAGTCTTCTCTAAAGTCGATATCCACGAAGCTTACTACTATATTAGTATTAAGAAAGGTAATAAGTAGAAAATAGTCTTCTATATCTAATATAGCTATTTTAAATATATAGTAATACTATTTAGACTTATAAATATATCTACTATATTCTAAAATTATATCTATATTATATTACGAGAATACTTAGATATCTTTTATATAGCTTACTTAGATAATATCCTAATCTTTTCTTCCGACTAGGATTCCTATACGAAATATATCTATCTTATCCTAGAAAGACTTTATTAGTATAAACTCTATATCTACCTATTAAAGTATATATTCTACTAAGAATATATAGAATTCCTAGACTATATAGTAAGTTCTATAGAAGTAATAATAGATAAATCTAGAGTAGAAGCTATCCGAAAATAGTCCTAACCGACTACTATCCGCAAGATCTAATCTTTTCTCGGATTTTATAACTTCTATTAATACTTTATCTATAACTACTCTAGTATTATAAAATCTCTTACCGATCTTATAAAGAGGATAATAAATAGCTAATAACTAGGAACTTTCGAACTTAAAGCCTATAAAGTAGCTATATTCTACTAATTAATTCGAGTCTTTAAAATAGTACTAGTTCTCTAATATTTCGATCCTAACTAGAAAATTAAACTTAAGATAGATATCTCTTAGTAGGGAATAGCTAGTATCCTATTATAACTAGATAATAAGGGGATCTAGTATCTAGTTATATTTTAGTCTTATAAGTTCTCTAATACTAAAAGCCGATATACTACTAGAGATTAAGAACTTTTTATTATTATATATTCCTTTAAGATATAGCGATACTACTTAGAGGGATCCTAGTACCGAATTAAGGTCTTTTCCGATTATAATAACCTATATTCTTTTATATAGAATCCTAAACTATATAGTCGCTAAGCGCGATAGTTAACTAACTATAATATCTAGAACTTATTTCTAACTAATTAGAGTTTTATAGTATTTCTACTAATTTCTTAGTACTCTTCGTAATTAGAAATAAAAGAGAGATAAAGTAAGTAGGACTAAGGATTATATAGTTAGATCTTATAATCCCTATATATAAAGTAATATCTACTATAGATCTTATAGGTCTATAAGTATAATAAGATAAAAATACTAACTTCTATTAAAATTAGTATACTACTAGTAGGAACTAGTAATTACTAAAATTTACTAATAAGATTAAGAAATTACTCTATTACTCTATACTACTTATAATTAATAGTATACTATCTATTAATATTAATTAAAGATTAGAGTTAAAAGATATTTTAAAGAAAATTTATTATATATTAGGAGAATCTAAATTAAACTAATAAGAACTAGGATTTAATAGAGAAAATTAGTAAATTATAGTAAAAGCTAGATATATCTAGTATTTATAATTTACTAGTAGTACTTAGTTATATATAGGAATAAAAGAGAGAAACTAGTAGTAATTAGTAAAAACTAGTAATAAATAGTTATAAATAGAAAAGTCTTCTAGACTATAAGTAATTATTTACTAAGAATTATTCTTAGTAAAAATATAAAAGTATTCTTAGAAATTGTTCGATCTACTAGATTAAAATAAAAACTAATAATAGTAACTAGTATAATCTAGAGTTATCCGGTAATAACTAGTAGAAAGAAGTAATTCTTAGTTATTACTAGTTCTTTATTTATCTATAGTAGTAATTCTACTTTTTTTTAGTTATATATAGGAGCTCTAGATAATATTAGCCTTTTTACTTAGAATAATACTTAGTAAATATAAATTATATATAAAGACTAAAAATATTTAGATATTATAAGTAACTTTAATAGATATTTATAGCTTTCTTAGGATAGAGGGATATATTTATAATAATTAAGAAGGATTCGATAATATTTAAAGCTACTAGTTATATATAGTAATAAATAGAAATTTCTAGGATATTTCGAAATCTACTAGAAGATATAGAAGTAACTAAACTTTCTAGGACCTTTTAGTAAAAGTTAGTAATATCTAGGAAAATCTAGGTTTTACTAGTAAATATTAAATATCTTAGACGCTTCCAGAGCTATCTACTAACTTCTAAAAGGAAATAGATCCTTTTAGTAAAAACTAGTTATATATAAATCTAGAATTATCTAAATAGATTCTTATAGCGCTTCTAGTTTTATTTAGATTTTACTAGATCTATTTAGCTTCTCACGGAAAATACTAATTATAAATTATAAGCTTATAGGGGTCTTAATTTCTGCTAAGATTCGCTAAATTCTATACTTAACTAGTAATCAATATTTTCTTCTAGTTTTAAAGCTTATAGGGGCGTAGTAATCGTACGGTCCTCTTCCTACGAGCTTATTATCTTTAGGGCCTACTTAAAAAAGTCCTAAAAAGGTCTAGTTTACCGTTCCCTTCCGTTCCCTACCGGTAGTAAAAATTTACTCGTAGGGTCGACGTAAACCCCTATGACCCTATAACCTATATACTCGAAACAATAGCTTCGTATTACTAGCCATCCTAGGACTAAAGTGGTCTTAGGACTGAAAATGTGCCTCGTCAGAGGCCAGGACAACATTCTGAATCCTACATACGGTCAATAGTAATACCGAGCCAGCATCGCAGCCAGATTTACACTAGGATCGCAGCCAGGAACGCAGCCAGGAACGCAGCCAGGAACGCAGCCAGGAACGCAGCCAGGAACGCAGCCAGGAACGCAGCCAGCATCGCAGCCAGCATCGCAGCCAGATTTACACTAGGATCGCAGCCAGGAACGCAGCCAGGAACGCAGCCAGGAACGCAGCCAGGAACGCAGCCAGGAACGCAGCCAGCATCGCAGCCAGATTTACACTAGGATCGCAGCCAGGATCGCAGCCAGGAACGCAGCCAGGAACGCAGCCAGCATCGCAGCCAGCATCCTAGCTAGTATCGTAGCTAGCAGTATCAAGTCGTAGCTAGATCCGTCGAGTCTAGCCGATTATAGGCTAGTGTCGGTGCCACAGAACTAAGGTTCGGGTCCGTGGGTCACATGATTTACACTTCGCAGACCGCTATCCGCTATGGCAGAACGCCTCTCCCCCTAGGGAAAAAAGAATACTATTATATGGCCCCCCCCCTAAGGGTATATCCCAAAGAAGTTAGCCTAAACTACTGTTGTAGTGTCTCTGACGAGACACAATCATGTCTCTTGGCGCACGACTCTTCTCCGCATCCTGAAGATCCTAGATCATCTTTCAGTAACGCTCTGATTTTAGACATTGGAAACATTCATCTCAGGAAAATGGAGGGCAGGCCATCTTTCACGTCTTTTCTGACATCGTCTCTTCGTTCATCCTTCAAGAGTTCCGGTCGCCACCCTCGGGATTCGGAGGACAATGAAGGTTCGTGCAACTTTCACCCTTGTTTGATCTTCTGCATCATGTCACACTCTCAATTGCCCGATCGTGAATACGGGATGTCTTTTCTTTCTCCGGATATGGCTTCCTCCACTGCAACAATAGGCCGATCTCCTATTAACTTCAGGTCAGGCCAGTCCAATTATGATCCAGCCAAAGGTTCATATGAACGGAGGCGTCAGCAGGTCAGACGAGCACAAAAGTAATATTTCTACCAACAAATGGGATAGGCTTACTCACGGATTAAGACAACAAACTGACAAGGAAATTCTTACCCAGGAAACATCGAGAGAGAAAAGAGAACTATGTCGTGGCCCTCGAAGAGGAGATCCAATTTCTCCGGGCCACGGTACGTAATATCCAGCTGGAAAATACCATCCTAAGAAATGCTCTTGATTTGCATGGGATAAGCGCGTTAACCAACTATTCCCCACCCGTTCCTGGTAACGATACTACTCGTGTGACCCTATCTGGTCCACCTGGCCCTCACCAGTTTTTGCAAGTCCAAACCCACGATTTCCACGCATTCCCGGCCCCGGTTCAAGGCACCAAGAATACCATCAGCTCCCGTAATGCAGCTCAACTCTTAGGTGACGCTGTGGGACAGCAAATTGGCATAGGCAACGAACAGTACGCTTCTCCAACTATCGGAACTCGTCATTCCTGTCAATCATCATCTCCGCCCGCATCCTCTATCGGTGCTTTGGATTCTGAGTTTGCTGGGTTTCAGTTCGTCTTAACGTATGAGCTCTTTATCTCCTGCTATGTTCGCCGAGCCTATACTCATCAAATTCTCTGCAGATTAGAGCATCCTTGTCTCCAGCACACTGGTCACCCTTCCATCTCCAGCGGCATGCCGGGCCATGCCCTCACTCTAAATGCTGCAGCACTTGCCTGTGCGCCATCGTGTATCCGACCTGATGAAGTCTGGTCAGTCCCTACAAGCTCCTTGGAGCGGCTACTCAATCTCTCTGCTGAATTAGAGATGGAACCCGGAAAAATTACTCCCATTCAAGCCTGGCAGTGTTTAAAGGAACATCCAGATTTTGCGATGTTGACACTGGAGAGGCTTCAAGAATTAATTTTTAAACTTTCCAACGAAGTGAAGTGTCACGGGTAAGTAAATAATCGTCACTTTGTAGGGGTGTTGGGATGTTAGAGTCTTAGATTGTTTGTATCACATTGCTGACTGTGATGAACAGATTCGGAGCTGCTATGAACGAAAAGACATTTCATGCCCTGCTGCGACAAGTCTTCCAGACATTGAACGGATAATCATGGAATAGCCTCCCTCCTTGTCTTCGTTGGACATCTGGGAGCAAGTGCCAAATCAAATCTAGCCATGTTTTTACCAAAATTTACGAATCAGCTTTTACCTCTAGTTGGGTTGTGATGCTATTGACATTGCATTTCAGGAGCTATTGAATTGCATTCTGTGAAATAGCTTCCGCAGCGAACACTGCCCCTTGAGTTAGTCAAACCGAAACGTCTCCTTGAAGAGAACGACGGCTTCTTCAACAAATCTCAAACGATCCCTTGGGATTGCCTGATAATTGCCAGAATTTATCCTGGACATCAATGAATTTCGACGTATCTGGGCGCGAACAGCCCATATAGCTACTCATATCCTCACCACCACAATGCCATTGATAGACTGCCTTAATAACGCGCAGCCGTTTACTCCTGCCGTAGCAGTGCCTTAGCTAATCCAAGGACATATATTTTGGGCAATATAAACTCTTCTCGAAAGTTCCTCGGATTTAAAATAGCCCGAAAGGTAAGCTGATTTACAAAGAAACAAGGCCTTCTTTTACGTCGGCATGGCGCATGCACAGTACGCTATGTTCATCTCGAACGGGGATGACTGATTACTTTCTCGGAATGTTTCTTGTAAGCGGTTTATAACAGTGAAAGAGGTTCGAGTTTCCATTATAACACACACTCTCTCAGTGTATGGTTGGGCGACTCTGATTTACATTAGAATGTTGACTTCTGAAATCTTTGATGCCAAGAGTTGGTTCTGGCCTTGCCCGGAAGGAGCGGCCAGAAGCGCTTCTTTAAAGCGGTTGAGGACACTAAAGTCAAGATACATGGACCATTCTCCATCAAGTATTTTACTCAATGGGTGGCTGTGCATGTTTTTGGGCGTTCCTGTTCCACTTCTTACCTTCCTTGCTCTCCGGTTCTTCTAGGAGATTGTCCCACCAGCAAAAAAAGGGCTGAAAATACCGTTTCCCTTCCCGGTGGTGCATCGCATGCTTGATTGGCCCTGCCCCCCATCCAGGTGGGAGGACCTTGTCATATTGCCAATCAAGCTCTACACCCGAATGTACCTCGATAAGCAGATATATGAATATCGGAATGAATAGAGTCCGAGTGAGGACATGGCTCCCGATGATGTTCAATGCAAAGTTGGCCAGTAGAATCAATGCGGTGCGCTCCGTGACACTCAATCGATTAGTCACTTGCGGATGAATTTCATTGTGTCCGTGATGTGGACCGTGGATCCGGTGGAGGAAGGGTATGCGATGGAACGCAATGTGGATCACAAAAAACAGAGCATCGTAGAGAAAGATTGACGCTGCTAATTCGAAAAGAACTCGTCGGCTTGTGGGAGCTTCGGGCGGCAGGGCACGAACCAATTGCAGCGGAGAGTGCAAGGTGAATCGGTGAAAGGTGGGAGCAAGAAAACTTGGGCTGATAGTTCCCTGGGAAGCCGGACAGGGCGCATACCCACCCGATTGTCTGATACTCGCTATGTCCACTCCAGCATACTTTTTAATCAGAGTCAAGTCAAGTAGCAGAAGGGGAGCCACGTAGGTGACCAGCTCTGGAAGACGGGTTGATGGGCGCTTCATTTTAGGCAAGGCAGGGCGACCCTTAGTGTTGGTCGTAGACTGGCGGATGTCGACTCGACGAGTTGGGTTGTGCGCATATCGCCAAGTGTAAATGGGCTCGATAGTGACGTAACAGAAAACGGTTTCTAGAGTCTCAAAGAACGAGCGGTTGTACAAAGACCAACTGTAGAAAGAGCCATAGAGTTTCGACACGGCCGGCTGCCACCATGAAGGGCAGGCGATGCTAGTAAAAGTAATAGCAAGAATGATCAGTCGTGGGATCCAAACCGACCGAGACATAGTATCAGGCGTTATCCCTTGAATGTTGGAGACTTGCGAAAGAAGTTTTGTGGGGGCCCCTCGCACCTCTTAAATTTTTTGGTGCTGGACCTTGGCTCCAAACCCCACATTATGTCAACACAACAGTTCTTGCCCATGATTCCAAATCAGACCCACTTAGGCGGTTGGGGTGTAATCGAACAGGAAATAGGTAGTAGGGTCGCAGGGAATTACGGCGACCCTATGAGTAATTGTTTATTACCGGTAACGTAATTCCCGGCCGTGTCGGTCACCCGGCCGTCCCGGTCACCCTACCATAGTTTAGAATTTTAAAATCGATTATTTCTATTAACACCTATAGAATTTGCTATTACTAACGATTCTTACATTGATTGATCCTATGCCTAATTACTCCACATCCACTGTAGGTAGGAGGAGCCCTCCTAACCGGTTGAATCGGCTGATTAGGTAGATCGACCTGTTCATGCGAATTAACCCTATTATCTTCCTCTAGCTGGTTTAGCTGCGTAGCTAGCTATATAGCCTCTTTAATAGTTAAACCCTCTTCGTAGGGTATCTTCTTAGTTGACCGATTACGCTTTTTGACTATCTTCTTATTCGCTATACGTAAATTCGCGTTGTCCTCTGCTAGTAGTATACTACTATAAAGCGCTAGGTAGTGACCCTTAATAAGCTAGTCTAGTATGGTTTTTGATAGACTTAGTAGGCTATTTAACCGTCGCTTTAGTAGGTCTTTTAATATCGAAGCTTACTTAAATAGCTAAGTAGCGGTTCTAGGCGTTTTTAGTATAAATTAGCTAGATCTACTACTTAGCCGGCTATTTAGTAGTATTAGAGTTCGTAGAGAGATATTAAGCTTATTAAGTACTCTCTCGGTATCTAATAGTACTAGACTACTAGCTATAAAGCTATTTTTAATAGTAGGATTAGTTAATTAGAAGGCTTCTAGCTATATATACTAGTAATCTACTAAGAAATCGTACTTATCGATATAGTTATATCCTCTATACGTAAGATCGCTAACGAAGCGACCGTATACGTACTTAACTACTATAAAATACCTAATATCTAGTAGTTATAGTAGATATAATAAATATATAGGTATATAAAGAGATATAATATCGTTATCTACGTAGATTTAATCGAATTAAGATATAAGATAGCTACTATAGCTATTAAGAATTAGTAGCCGAAACCGGCTATATACACGCGAATTCGTTAATAGGATAAATAGCTTTTATAGCTAGCGTAGACTAATCTTATTAGTAGTCTAACTATTAGTAGAGACCTCGATTCGCTAGTCTTTCGGTAGGTTTTCGTTAAACTATCCTATAATAGCTACTTTATCTTTAAAGACTATATATAGCGGTAGTAAATAGCTATCTACGTAGATTACTTCGATAGTAGTAACCTATTCGCGATTTCCTAGTTATAGAAGAGACCTCTGACCGTAGTATTTAGCTCTTATAACTACTTTCTACGAAGATATAAGACCTATTATAAAGCCTATCTTATTAAAGTTATAGATATCCTCCGGTTATATACTATTCTCGTTAATTATACTTTATACGGTTGCGAACTACTACTGAATTAATTTCGGATCTTTGTTTAGGACTCTTTAGTAATCGTATCTTCGCGAGAAGCGTATATAAAGCTTAGGGCGGCGGTTAATAAAGGTTAATAGCTAATTCTTTCTAACGGTAGACGGAGGGTAGCTACTATATATAGTAAGAAGGATATTAGCTATTTCTTCTATAGTTACTAGCCTAGGTACTACTCTATATATATCTATAGAGAGAATCTATTTAGTAAGCGAATCCTCTTCTAATTAGGTTAATTTATAGCCTATAGGGCGAGAATCGACGCGGTAAACCACCCCTTTAGCGCGGTCGATTAGTATTAACTTCGGGATTTCGTATAGGATAGCCGCTACGCGGAGAGATTTAACGCGGCTATTTTTTAGGTCGGAAAGGGCTAATAAGATCCTGCCCTCTTAACTAGCCAATTTATAGCTAGATTCAGTGCGAATTAGTGGTATAGTAGGTAGTTAAATTAGGTATATTAGTAGAAAGACGCGATTTTAGAGAGGGTGACCGGGACAGCCGGGAATTACGTTATATAGTCATACGTATTAATACCTTCCTAATTCCCGAGGGACCTACTTTGAACCTAGGCTGGACTGATAAGACCTAGACGGGTGTTAACTAATCATCTAGTTAAATAAAAATCAGGCAATCACGTAATCACGAGGCCGTGATTTGAACTTAGTAGGGGAGGATATGATCCTAGAGTAGCATGCCGCTGTAATACGGATACGGGATCACTATCTGACTATATATACCGTTATATAACGAACCATTCTATCGAATGGTTTGGCATAGACCTTTTAGTCTAATAGTAATACCATATGAGTAACGGCACGGGTGATTCCATAAGAAGGACTATACTCCTCTAATAGTCTCGGGGGGTATCTATATCTTAATTATATCTACTTTTACTAGATTAACTCTAATTTCTTATATACTAATAATAAAGCTAAGGAATTTAGTCTCTTATATATAGAACTTATATTTATATAAGATAGCTTATAGTCTAGCCTCTCGGAGTTATTATAGTATCTTTTTAATATATATCTAATATTATCGTAAATTATCCGACTTAGTATAGATTAAGATATTATCTATAAAAGTTATATAAAAATTATTAAGATAATCGCCTAATATATAGTTAATATAGTACTAGAATATAGCCGGTCTATTTATTAGTCTAAAAGGTAAAACCTTATATTTATATAATCTATATCTTAACTTAAAGATTATAAGATCTTCTAAATCCGGATATATATAAATATAGTAGAATCCTTATTAAATATTAAGTTTTATAAACTATTTAGTCTTACTAATCCGCTAGAGTAATTTATCGATTAAAGATAAGAGATATTAGTCTTTCTTTATTAAGATATTTAGTTTACGATAGTTAATATAGAATCTTAGTCCTCTATCTAGCTTAACTACTATTAAGATTAGTAATATATATAGTACTAAAGAGGGTATAATAAAGCCTTTTATAAGATTTTATAGTATATACTACTTCGTAAAATATAGCTCTTCTTTAGTTATTTTATAAAGTAGATAGTTAAGCTACTTAAAGGAATTATTTTTAAGCTCGATTCGGTAGTCCGGTATTCCTCTTAATAGTAGTAATATATCCGAAGTAATCTTAGAGAATATATTAATAAATTTATAATACTCCTTTAGTATAATTTTCTTAATATCTAGTTCTTTAGAAGTAATTACGTCGGTTACTTTAGAGTTAATAATCTTATCGATTTAAGCTAGTAATATAATAAAGGATTATATCCCTACTAACTACATATAATAGTAAAATCTAAGTCTACTAATTATAGCGATATTAAGACTTAAAATTTTTTACTTCTTAGTCTTATCTTTTTATCTCTTAAAGTATCGATCTTACTATTCTATATCCTTCTAATATTTCGAAGAATCTATTTTTAGTCTCTAAAGAATAGTATATAGGATCTCTCTTAGTACTAAGTATTAAATCTCTTCTTTTAGAGTAGATTAATCTAGCTATACTAGTTATTAATTTCTATAATCTAGTAGTATACTATATTTAGCGAACTATACTCTTCCGAGGATTATATCGTTTCTTCCTAGTTCTATTACTAGTATATATTATTTAAGTTATATATAGCTATTAATTATAAAGGTTAATTTAATAGTATATATAATTAGCTCTCTTAAAACGCTATTATAGCCTATAATAGGATAAGTAATTAGTAGCTTAAGAGTCTTTATACCGAGAGATACTAGTAATCCGATTATATTCGAATAGATATAGAGATATCTATCTACTCTAGTATCTACTAAATATTTAATTTAAACTATTCTTCTATTAATAGCTATCTAAGTATTAATAGTTATATAATTTATAGGTAATAGTAATTTATATAAGTTTAGCTTTAATATATCTTCTAGGATAGAGACTTTTCCTAGGATTAGAATTTTCCTATATTCGAGTTAGAGTCGGATTCTTTAAGTTTAATAAGATCTATCTTATTAGTTCTCTTAGCTAATAATCTAGTAGTAGTTAATATAACTATAGATAATTTCTTAGGATAGTTATAAGAGAGATAGCCTTTTTCTTTATAGATAAAGTACTTCTCTTCCTTTATAAGTTATACTTTCTTAGCTAGTTCTTTAATAAGGATTAAAGAGGTTCTAGTTATATTTAAATTCGAGGTATTATTTCGAGTTATAGTACTACTCTAAGTATAGCTACTACGGGAAATATTCTAATATAGATTATAGGAGGCGATCTACTATAAGATTATATATAAAGTAATTTAATACTATTAGATAAATTACTCTAAGATAATAGAGTTATTACTAGAGGAGATTATAATCTAGTTTTATAAAAGAATTAGTAGTTTATAATATAAATCCCTTTTTTATAGCTCTATTAGCTGTTTAGATTCTTTAGCTAATCTAGTAAATTTAGCTAGGAAGTTAATAAAGTCCTATTTTAGATTTATCTTTAAGTCTAGATATTTATTATAGGCTACTTATTTATAGTTTAGATTATAGAAGATAATTTATAAGTAATTAAAGATTTTATTAGTAGTTCGGTAAGAAGTTATAGTATCTTTCTCTAGATAGAGACTAATATAGCTTAATATCTTATCTTTATAATAGCTTATAATATATATAAACTAGTAGAAGATAGTTAGATAGTAGTCCTAGTTTAATAAGAGCTTTCTCTTTATAAGTCCCTTCTAATATTTAAACTTTATATCCTTACTATTATTAAGTATAGATAGATCTAGTATCTTAGTTAACTTATAAGTATCTTTAGTATTAGGAGGAATTATATAAATTAAACTAATTCTATTCCTAGTATTACTATAGCTAGTCTATAGGAATTATATTATAGTTATAAGTCTATTATACTTCTTAATAGTTTTATTATAATTAGTATAAAGATTAGTATAGGCTTCTTCTATATACTAGATTTCTAGGATTTATTCTATAGTATTTAAGGATTTTAGTATTTTATTTTCTTCTATTAGCTAGTTAATCTATTCTCGAAGTCGTTAGTTTATCTCGGTCTCCTATCTTAATACTTAGAAAGCTACTTAAGTATTATTAGAAATCTACTCTAGTAGCTATTTAGGGGTTTCGAGTTTATATTTAGTATCTTTATAGCTAAAATTTAACGAGGTTCTGTTTCGGCGAGGAGTTTATTCTACTAAAAAGATTTACTTATAAAACCGCGCTATTATAACTTTAGTATAGTTTATTCTCGGTTCGGGGTTTATATAAGAGATTCTAAGGATAGTAGTATAGATATAGTATTAAGCTACTTATTAAGGGTCTTAAAGGTTATAGGATTTTTTAGTAAAGATCTTAGGATAGCTGGAGGATATAGTATCTTACTATCCGGCTAATATTTTAAAAGAGATAGAAAAAAGAAAGAAGAGGACTCTTAAAATAATATTATACACTAGTTTAAGAAGAGTTTTTAGAAGGACTTATAAACTATTTATGTAACTTAACTATATAATATCGAGAATCTTAAGAGCTAGAGAGGAAAAAGAAAAGGAGGAAGCTATAGAGGTATTCTAGGTTCTAGGATAGTATATAGTACTCTAGTATAGTTATACGTCTCCCTTCTACTACGGATTTCTTCTATAGAAGAAATCTAAGTCCGCCCGGTCGGTTTTCTTCTATAGAAGAAAACTAACTCCGTAATACCTATATTCCTAGGTCTTCTGCAGAAGAAATCTAGGTCTATAATACTTATATTCTTAATAGAAAATACTAATAGAAATCTATAGGATAGGACTCTTACTAGCTTATAGATTCTATATCTTAGTATAGTATTTAGAATACTCTATAGCTATAAGATAGGTAGATTATTAGTAAGTTACTAGATTAAATATCTTTCTTTTAGGTATTTAAAAAGAAGATTTAGTAATTGTTAGGATTAGGATTATAGGGTAACTAAGACTATTAACTAGGTAAAGAATTAAAGTCTAGGAGTTTCAATATTTAAAGACTAAATCTTAAAGGTCGGAATACTTCTTCCCTTCCACGATTATTATATATATAGCTATTACGTATACGATCTAATACCCCTAGGGCTATAACCCCGAAAGGATTCGTTAGCGTCCCGTACGTGATTTATCCGTGGCCGCGCTAATATAACGCCTATAGCACGTAGCTATAGCTTAGAGAACGGTCTATCGTATACATTCTCTACGGCGCGTAGAGATTTGATTTATCGTTTTTAAACGTCCTAGAGGGCTAGTAGGTTCTTACCCTCCTAGTTGGCCAATTTCTGCTAGGATTCTGAGCGCGTTGGTGGTATCGCTACCTATTGAAGAGGAGGGTTTAGTGGTAGAGACGCGATTTCGGGTTGGTTACCAGGTTATCCATGAATTACATTAGTCAAGGGTTATACCAATTCGGTGTATGAGATGATGGGGTTGGGTCCAAAGCCAACCGAAGAGGTTGAAAGGGAGCTCGCGAATGTTGCTTCGGCCAACCCTGTGGATGAGTATTCTGCAGTGCCGCATCCGACTTGCTTTAGGTAGGCTACTTATCCCGGTTATTTTCAGCAAGGCAGTATGCCCCTACTGCCAACAGGCTAGATCTTTTCTGGACTCTTGCGGGGCCAAATTTCAGATGATCGAGGTCACAAATATCAGTAAGTTCTTAACCTCTTACGTCGCTGTTACATTTGACTCGGGTGACGAAATGCAGGTCTAGGTCTGTTGAAGGTCCTAAATTCAGAAATAGGCCAAAAGACAGTCCCGAATATTTTCATCGGAGGTATTAACGTAGGCGGTAATTCGGATCTCCAAGCCCGAGAGTCTTCTTTGAAGAAAATATTGTCGGAGACGGGTACGCTCTGAATCCTGAGACAGTGATTACTAGTGGTTAATATAGTTGGGGGTCATCCGAGCCTAGGGCAGTCTATGATGTATTTCATAAACTTGAGGCTGCCAGTTCGACTAAAGGAATATACTCTAGGCTATGAATTGTATTTAAATTAAGTAAGCTAGTTGACGGCTTGAGAAATCAGATTCCTGTAATGTAGACAGGAACTGTTCCCGGGAGACTATCGGCCTAATGTAAGATGAAAACCGTTGACTTTTACTTCGGAGGTTGAAGTGGATCCTAATAGAATCAATTAGATTCCCTCCTGTCCGTGCGCTACGAATGATTCCAAATATGACGTCATAAAGCGGCACAGTTTCCTCGACAGAGACGAATGATACATGATCCTTGTATATCCCGTAGTAATCCAAGGTATGCCTCCCTGCCAGACGTAGGCATAGGCGGATATCTGTAGGCAGAAGTCGTCGAATATCTAAGAGAGAAATTGATTGATTGTACAGCCCCCCTAAGGACTACTATGCAAGCCTTCCAGGTATGGGTTTTGTGTGCCATACAGGTCAGCCTGAGAGCGTAGCCATCACCGAACTAGATCACTCGCGGTACCGAATACCATTCTCTACTCAGCGCTTCCTAATACATCTCTCATTAATCTGCACCCATCAAATAAGTATATTCTGTGATCATAAAAGTGCGGCAGGGTCGAGCCACTTTTTCGTGTCTGATAGAAACCAGGAGATGCTAAGCCACGTCCACTTTCACGTTTTGAAGCCCCGCCGCAGTGATTCGAGCTTGCAACATCCGTAGGAATTCCTCATGGTCTGTCCGCACTCGAGATATATCTTCAGGTCCCAACAGAATTTTGAATGGTTCGCCGTTGACGCCGATCATACCGCTCGCTGCTTCGATAATCACGGCAGGCGTGCCCACCCCGTGTTGTTTCATCCACTGAATAAGGGAATTGGATCGCTCGTCCAGATGAACCTGAACGATATTTGCGTTGATTATTTTGGATTTAGTCGCCTTCCACTCGGCGCTTTCGTTGAGGCTAAGCGAGGGGCCATGGGTCAATTCGCAAGCAGCACAAGCAGGATTTGTCGCTGGATCTGGACATCTCATTTTGCGGTAGACATAATTCAGCTTCCCAAGAAGAGTTGAATTTGCATTGTATACAACGTAAAGTGTCGAGGGTTGTTGACTGGATATAGAGGACATCGTACTGAAGGGTCGGAGGAGATGAAGAGAGAAGGCTGCAGTGGGGAAGGCGACTAAATCCAGAAGCTTTTAAGTAAATTAACACGTGATCCATTGAAGTGCCACAACTTTGCAGAGTTTGGAAGAGGATAACTATTCTTTCCAAAAAGACACACGTTGTTCGAAACGAATGAGCAGGAAAAAGAGGGAGTACTAGGCACCAAGTAGGAATGTATACATGAACGTCAGAGAAAAAGGTTCATTTTTGCTTGTTAAAGATACTTTTTTATGAACTTTCGAAGCCCAAGAACGAGCCAAACAAAGTTAGAAACTCCTACGACACCAGTGCCTATTTGGCATGGCCGATGTAAATGAGCAAAAGATTCGACGGCAGATTGACCAGTCCACGCTCCATAAATCTTCAAAATGTAATAGAGAAGATAAATTCGGGCAACCGCGTAGTGGAGGAGGTAAGCTCCGTGAGTGATGCATATACTTGCTCGCCACGACGCATGAAACTTATCCAGGAACCAGTGCAGTGTGCCAATAGGAGTACTGAAGGTGACAATTGTTAGTTTTTCACGACGGAGTACCTTATAGGGAAAGACCGTATTCGCGACAACCCGAAGGAAATGCAGGTGAAAATGGCTATAAAGGTAGGGGGGGGAAATTAGGGAAAACTTACGAGGCATTCATCAGAAGCATCATCAAAACCACCAAAGAGCCCTTAGCCTGTCCACGCAAGACTTTCAGATGAAACAACCCAAGGCCAGCCGCAACTCCAAGATGATGCCATCCTAGCACGTGCCAGTTTATGTTACGGGCCATCACAGATCTCTCACGAGAATCACGTGCTCGTATCCGGGAGCCCAGGAGGAGAATTGCGAAATCCTGAATGAGATAGCCGCATTCAAAGGCAATGATGGTGTTGGTAAAGGGCGGAGACGCTTCTATGAAGTCGACTTGTCCTCCATAGTTTCTGTTTTTCTCAAGATTCCCAGACGACGAACTGGAATGAAGGGAAGGCGGAGCCCAGTTCTTGTGGTGCCGATGCAATTCAAAACATACGGCGGATAAGATCAACAGACAGTGAGTAACGGATACAGCCTCCCGCGATTTCATGAAATCTGAAGCCGAGTTACTTGATGGAGTGATGTATCGAAAGACCAATGGATATATGACGGCAGAGGCAACTAATCCGGTATTGGGATGGATCTTATCCAAGCACGACATTCTTTCAAAACGGAAGCTAAAGGAGCAACAGGAATATGCGGATGAGATGAGCCCTCTAAGCCATAAAGGATAACAGAGAGTGTGGCATGGAAGAGCAGGGCCTGACTGAAATAAGTTTGCGTTCATCTAAGATCCTGCTGACTAGTACGACCTGCATGCAGCATTTCCAATGTCTTTTCTCTGGTTCATACATATTGCCCCATGAAGGTCCAGGAAATCTCTATACGGGTGGACCTTTTTCCCAGTACTTTTACAGGGACGTACATACGTAGACTATCATACAGTAATATTACAGAAGGGCTGGACGTTACCGGTATGCAGGATCCGTAGATTGTTATGATTCAGGCTCCACTTTTTCTGCCCGATACAGACAAAATCCGTGACCTTGAATATACCCTACAGAGTCCACACAAGCCTCCTCGCTAACCTGCTTGATAAAGCCCCACTATACCTCTTAAACTAAACGAAGGCCAAAGCAATAGCCAGGCACTGGTCCAAGAGCCACAGAACTCATCGCAGTACGGCGTGGTTAACGTCTCGTGATCGTCTGGCTAACCTGCAGCCCCAACATACTAAGATAATCGAATATGATGAGAACCCTAAGGCGCGTATGTGGTACGCGGGACTCATTAAGTGCTATTTTTCCCCGCCGCGAATTTTTATCTCTCCTATCACAACATGCTGACCACGAAATAAAAATTTCCGACCCAAACAAATGTATCGGCTGGCGCCGAAGTCGAGTCGGCTACGATGATACGCATGGTTCGACCCTGCAACGCTCTCTACCTGTCTCTTTCACTTTCTATGAGGTATCTGGAAAGCCTTTGAGGTTGCTCCGATGTTGTGGGAAATAGCCTGGTCTATTAACCAAACAAGCCAAAAGACTAGAATATACTAGAATGCATGTTCTTGTATGCCCGGGAACGGTATAAGTATCGCACCGTTACGGCTCTGCGCAGCCACCAAGCCCGCAATCCGCCGCAACATTCCATGTGGCCATATCCTTCCCTCAGAACCTGCCATGCAGACTAGCTATCTCGAGGCAATGCAGACCATGGTCAAGACTGCAGACAGCAAGATAATTTTTCCTGCCCGCCGTGAGCCAGACCACTCAGCAGCAAATGTTCAAAGCCCAAATCCTTGGCAAAGGCCCGGAAAACCTGGTACTGAGCAAGCAGAAGACGAATTTCGAGGTGTGATGGAAGCATAGAAGCGCAAGTCGTCGAAGACATGTAGATGCTTCCACAGCCTCATCATCACCCTGCTGCCAACTAATCGATGTCTTTTTCATGAAGACATCACCTTCGCTTTCTACCTTTATTTACTCTTGCTTTAATTTGGAAGGGTCGTTCCGGCAGCTAGACCCATCCTTTCTGGATATTCGACCTGTGTTCTATCCTGCCTTTTTAATTTGGCTGCATTCGGCGCCATAGGTGGTAATGCCCGCTTTTTTTGACTCTGTTTCAGACTGAGTTTTCTCCCGAACAACATATCCAAATGAATGGTGGGGTCAGTTTGATGAAGTTGAGCCACACTTTATTTATGATGATACATAATTAATCATTAATGATGTCCTTTTCGAAATACCTTTATGAAATAGTGGACTGGAGAATTGGCATGAAAGGAGAACTTGGGCTTGTTGAGAGGCTAAAGTAGCGGGCCTTCCCAAAGTCTTCGCAAACTGACATTGAGTACGAGATTCACTTAGTTGATATTAGGGTTAAGCTGCACAATCACCTACAAAAAGCGGTCTACTCGAGATTCTGGATGCACCAAATAAATGAGAGAGGAGAATGCATTTACTAGACGCTATACACTAGACTCAAAACAAACAATATAATAACAAGCACCACGAGCACGGAAACCAAGGCCCCGATGGCAATTTTGCGACTGGGGCTGGCCGGTACCAACAAAGTCTGGTCCTTGAGGTCTTTCCGAACAAGCGGAATGCTCAGTAGCATGCCCAACCCACAACCCCAGTATCCGACTGGAATAATGACAGCCAGGCATATTTTGATGATCTTGGTGTATTCAGCAGAGCCGGGGTCCAGATTCCGCACAGCCAGTCCTATAATTTCAGGCCCGGAAGAGTATATCAGGACTTGAATGCTACTCCAGATTGCAAGCCCAAAAGTTTTGTATTCGGGCAATAGGAGTAGAGCAATCATTGCTGACATACAGCCCAACCAAGTTTCAGCGGTCAAGTAGGCGGCGGACATAGTTGCGTACAGGATTTTCACACCAACCTGTTCATCGCCAGCTGCGACATCCTTTGAGAAGATCATCAAAAGAACAAAGATGCTGCTTAGAAAGCCTCCGATGGTGGTAAGATAGATAGGCGTTAACTTTGTCCGGTGCCAAAGCAGGGATGTCAGCAGACCGCCAGCTATGACACTAGCACTTCCGACGGTTCCAACGATAATTCCGTACCGCGAAAGAAGATCAGGAACAGTATCATATACGCTAGACAGATATCCAGGCATATAATACCCGAAAACATTACCAGCAAGTTGTCGCAGTCCTGCGGAGAGGACCAATGGCCAGAACGAGCGAAGTCGAATCAAGAAGGACAAAGTTGTGGTGAGAGAGCTGAGAACCAAAGACGACTCTTTCCTGTCTGGGCCATTTTCAACACTCTCTGCAAACTCTCTCTCTTCATGTTCCTGTTCTCGAATTGGACTGGCCCTTGTCGGTTCCCGCAACACCAGTCTCAACAATACCGAAACCACGATTCCCGTAATGCCAATGGCTCGCATGGCAACTTGCCAGCTAGTGCCAGTTTTGGAGAATGAAGTTGCGATTTGACCACTGATAGCTTCACCAACATATACGCCGACGTAGAGGACGCTTTCGCCGATAAACACATTGCGCCATCCAACGAGGTCACTGATTAGGCTCACACTCAGCGCTTCCACCGCCGCTTGTCCGATTCCCATGCCTAGGCGGGCGCAATAAATATCGGCGAAGTCTTTGGCTAGCCCTTGGAATATAACACATAGACTCCACCACAGCGATGCGATGCTTAATGTCCAAACACGCGCCGATGTGAAGTCGGCTACAAATGCAACCGGAAGTGCCAATAAAGCGTAGACAATGCCAGTGCTGTAGCCGCTCAGAAGGGCATATTGCGTTCCGGTGAGAGAAAGGCTTTTGAGGACCGAGGCTTGGAAGTAGGATAAGATAAACTTATCGTATTGCGCGAGGAAGTAATTGGTGAAGAGAATGGCGATGCTCATGTACACATGGACCATGTGCAATAGTGGGTGAGAATCGGCAATGTTGAACATCGCTGCAACCTGCCAGGGGATACAACAAATGGGCGACGTCACTAGCGTAAATGTTCAAGAATTCAAATGTCGTAGGACATGCGAATGATATATCGCTAAATATCCGGAATTTATTGAGCCTCTGACATGGGGGAGATCAAGATCAAAAAAGAAATGAAATGTCAATATGAGACTGCTCAAATGCGACTAGTATCCTCCTGGGCAGATTAGATTTGTCCACATGAACTCAAAGTTACCTATGTACCTGCTCTGTGTACCCTGCATGCGTGGTAAGCAATTTGCATCCAATCTGGTCACGTTCCGGTAATCTAATTTGCTATGAGGTCTGGTATCTCTGGTATCGTGAGACGAAGCTTGAGGTCCAGTTCTTTAACCAGACATCAATCATTCGGAGAGTCCCCGCACTATCAAGTAAGGTATTTCCTTGGCCCAATATACTAACTGCACGATTTGACTTTTCTGGTTCTCCCGGAAAATTCTCTAAGAATTACATTGACTACGCAAATGTTTTTGGACCACCAGCCCCACGCCACCTAATTACACAATATTCTGCTGGTCGCAAGCTTGCACTAAAACCTCATGATGTCCATAAATCTACAAAATTACTGGCTCGTACTGCGTCTTAGACCTAGAAGGAAGTATCTCATCTCTCTAATTCAACACATTCACAATCATATCGCGTTAAACGCATCTTAGCGTGGTCTGTCGTTGTGCGTCTTGGTAAGCTTTACCTTTCCGTGGTTACTGTACAGTGACGACAGCTGTAAAGCTGTTATGTAGGTGGGGGCTTGTCGAAACATGAAATCGTAACTTACAGCCTCGATAGGACTACAGGTAGCGTAAAAGTCGATTGATCTCAAAACTTCGAATGCGCCAGCGCCGCTTACCCCGCCCTAAGTCTCTTAGTTGCTTGATTTATGGATTCCTATTTGCGCAGCAAAGAATGGATACCCCCATCGACGCTCCTGGCCCAGCGGCAACTACTCACTAGGCCTTGATCGTGATGATTTGGAATCATACCCAGCCCGTCGGAAACCATCCCCTCTTCCAGGTGAACTTCCCCGCACAGTCCGAATCGGAATGATTCCAAATCATTCTCCACCGATCCAGTCGCATTCAGCTCTGCTCCACTTTGGATAGCCGGGTAATTTAGTTAGAACTAGTTACCCTACTTCATAGATTAATAAAGTACTCGGTGATTCGTTAGTTACGATTGCAACGAAAAGCGGGTCACTCATGCGTTCTGTCTGTCAAGGCACCTCCATGTGCATACATATATCAAGACTCCTTCCGCTACGCCTTGACTGATGATTATTCTGCCTCATAATACAACACTCGTGCTCAACGACTCCTTATACTTAATTGATTTAACCTCTTCTTCGCACCAACCGACCACGATGTGCGGGGGCATGTGCTACCCGATTTACGCTCCTGCGCCTCGCCCTGCGGGCTTGATTAAACCTGACGACACCAGCCTCGACGCTGCTGCCCGTCGGTACCGTGAACGACCCGAACGCGTTGCATCCGAACGCGATACATTGGATGGCTGTGCCTCGGACACTTCTACTCTGACTTCCCTGTCCTTCAAGGAATGTGACTCTACGCAGGTCTTTACGAAGGACAACAAGATCACAACTGTTGAAGGGAGAATGAAGTCAAATCGCTCCTTCCATGATAGATGGCTTGATTTCAAACGCAAGCACTTGCCCTGATTAATGCTCAACATGTCGAAGTCTTGCAAATTGTATCTAGCTTGGCCCGAATTTGAACATGCATCAGGATATAGGGTCGAGTTTCCACTTCCTGACCAATTTTCACAACGAAGAGATACTTTATGTCATGAATCTTACGTGCAAAGGATATTGCATACGTATCAATGTAGCAAGCGCTGTGTTTTCACGCTTCTATTGGCTAGGGCTAGGGGGATTTATCCTGTTAACATCCTCGGAGAATATCAGACAAAGGGAGCGCAAGAATATACCGGCTAGTCGAGAGAATCTTCCACGTTATTACTTTGCCCGAATTCTCGCTGAGTTCCATTTGAGGTGAACGACACCGTGACGGCATATTTGGAGCCATTTGGCTTGCTAAAGCTTCACGTTCCCTGCTATTTAATTTATGACGAGGTTTTACTGACTGGTTCACTTTCTCACACTCTCTCTTAACAGTCCCGCAGCGGCCGCATAACGACGTAAATAGTTGAACGTAGAAGAGCCCGGAACGAGAAATGCTTCGCCCAGAATACCACTAGATGGGAACTCAACCATCTACCCGGTTGATTCTAAGCAGCCATCATCCAAGGGCTCGAGATGAGAATGTAAAATTCTTGTTCTTCTCTGTGAAAGTTACGTTAAAAGTAACCAAGCCAGTCCCCAACAGTGTATACATGTACATGAAGCAGCTAGCTTGCTATCTCTGGCATTGGTGATCGTCTAACATGACCGGCTGACATATAACTTGATTGGCTTACGCGGTCGCTGGCAGGGTAACTGTTTCAAGTCCCGCTCTATGCTTTCCAGCGATACTCCTACATCCCATCCAAGCCAGCCTCGTACACCCTCACTTTCCACAGAGCCGCGCAAATCGATTCCGCTGTCGACCAAGACAGTAGCGACTATTTGTACAATCTGCCGAACCATGTCTTTACCTAGGCACTCTTTGTCACCGAAGCCGAATGTAAGTGATGGTGGTGTACCCTGTCCAATAAACCTCTCAGCTACAAACCGATGTGCATCTGTGTAGATATGCTCGTTGCGATTCGCGCCGAAAAAGTACAGCCATGCGTCCCATCCACTGGGAACAAGAGTGCCGGGGGTTTCGACCTCGCCAGGCCGTTGCAACACGATATCTTGTTGCATCCGCCGCATTAGTCCGATTACGGGGGGACTGAGCCTCTCTGTTTCAAGTAAGATGCTGCGCATTAGGATTTCTCGATCCTCAGAGTTTTCAAGATCTCTCACGCGCTGAATCAACGATGTCTCGCTCGGGAAAAGATAAAGATTCAACAGCGAAGCCGTCAACAGAGAAGCAACAGCTTTGACAGCGATAGAGCTCGTGAAAAGAAGCAGGTTGGATGCCAATTCTTCCTGTGGAACCTTGCTATCCTGGCAGTGGAACGGACATTGCGGCCCGATCGCGTCAACGCGCCTCCTTAGTGCTTCCTGAAGCTTGCGCCGGGCTTCAAGGCCACGGGAGCGTGGCGAGCGCCAGAATGGTGACTTGATCGAAACGGGGAAAAGCGAAAATTGGCCCCTAAGCAACTCCTCCTGCCACTTGACCACATCGTGGTAGTGGGAATCTTCCGGCTTCAACTCCAGGAAAACAGCGACCAGCAATCTCCACGTCATATCCTTCATGTGATCGTACAGATCAAAATCACCGCCAGCCGGCCAGGTCGACACTTCCTCCTCGACAATCTCTCGAAGCAAAGTAGAGGATTTGGCATTGACTTTCGCCATGTGCTCATCCCAGGCTTCGCGGCGGGGCTTGTGACTGGGCGCGTCAGATAGAAGGAGATTGGGATGGGGGAAGAAGTCAACCATCAATTCCTTGTAAGCTGGTAGGACCCCGAAGCTGGTGGGGGTGACTGTCTGGCCTGCGTGAGCAGCAACAATAGCACTCTCCGCCGACCTAGGAAGTGAAGAAAGCTGTTGAATATCCAATATTTCTTTGCAGTGCGTATAGGATACAATAACGGCAATATCGCGATTCAGAATCCTGGCCCGTACAGCCAGGGGCACGGAGTTTTCGGGTGGGTTATCAGGATCGTCCTGCCTCGAAGTGAGGAACAAATGTGGCGATGAGTAGAATGAGAGACTTTGAGAAATTGTGGAAAGCATGGAGGATTCCCTACCAGCGGGCAGTCGTGGTGCCTGTTTCTCACTCATTTGGACGTTCTGGTGAATCAAGCGGCCGGCAAGGAATCGTACACAAAAGTCATTGTAAAGGCGCAGAGGAGCGCTGAGGGAGAAACTGGTGGTCGGCCAAAGAAGGGCGTGCGGGCATGTGGGATGTCACCCGTCATCCGTAACCTCGGTACTCCGTACTGTGTATTCCACTAGGCTCAACCAAACCTACATGGCACATCTACTATGTGCTGTGACTTACAGTGTACGTACAATGGTTGTAATAAGTGATATGGCGAAGATTTGGTTTGGTTTTAACGGGGAATTCCACTTTATCTCGTTCCCGATTTCTTGACTCGATTCTGATCCAGCTTTACCAGGGCGGGTACTATGTACATTACCCTCTGGATGATGCCCACAGTAACTGTGCAGCCCATAACCCATGCCACACTTTCAATGTAACTCGGAAAAGCAAGCATGATGGTGAACATGATCCCGCTTTCAAACCCTTCAATCAGTGCTGGTCGCAATACCACGCTCGTCAGCTCTGCCGACTTCTGTTGTCCGTTGTGATCGAACTCCACTTTCGCGGCCACAGCTGCAGCATAGAAAAGCAGGAAATTGTTGATATGAAATGTAACCTCGAGGTATGCAACACTCCTCCAATTCACGGGCGGCAATCCCATGTTTCGGGAACGGTAGCGGTCTTCTCCATGCGCGACGGCCGGTGGGATCAAAGAATATATAAGGAAATCGCAAAGAAGATCTATGAAGCCACCGGCTTCCGTAACAGTTCTCCTCTCGCGTGCCAACGAACCATCTAGGCTGTCCAGGAAGCGGTTCAATAGCCAGAGGACCACAGAGATTACGACGTCTTTAGTTGCATGGCTGTTACCCCAAATCGCTGTGAAACTGCAAGACGCCAGCCCGAAGAGGAAGCCCACCAGTGTGAGGTGAATTGGAACAACGGCAGATGGGATCACCCGACAAAAAGGGCGGAGGGCATTTTCTTTTGTTGGTCGGAGCACGAAATCTAGCATAATCGTATGGTGGTGTTATGAAGAATCTGACCTTAACAAAGAAGCAGCAAGTGTTCAGAAATTGTCGTTGTAGGCAGAGAGGTAAAAGAGGGGAAAATGCGCTTCGGTTGGCAGGGCTTGAGCGAAATATTAAATACCAACTATCTGTGGCCTACGTAATCTCAGTACTTCGACCCACCCACGTTCGGTATCGGGCCTCACCTCAACCACCAATTTCACTATCTCGAAGACGAGTATATGTGATCCCAGAGGCATGGGCGCATCGAAATGCGGGTACGGGATCATCTGACCATATATACCGTTGCATGGCGAACCATTCTATCGAATGGTTTAGCATAGACCTTTTAGTCTAATGGTAATACCATATAAGAAACGGCACGGGTGATTCCATTTATAGGAGTATATAGGTAGCCGGGTCGCAGGGAATCACGGCGACCCTACGACCTATTTTTTATTACCGGTAGGGAACGGAAGGAAATAGTAGACTAGGCCTTTTTTAGAATATTTTAAGTAGGCCCTCAAGATAACGAGCTTGTAGGAAGAGGACCGTACGATTACTACGCCCTAGCGAGCTTTAAAACTAGAATATTATAGTGATTACTAGTTATATATAGGATTACGCGGATCTTAGTAGAAATAGAGACCCCTACGAGCTCGTAATTTATAATTAGTAATCACTATAAGAAAGTAAAGCTACCCGGTAAAATCTAGTTAAAACCAGAAGTACTATAAGGATCCGTAAGATTCGTTCTAAATCTTTTAAAACTTAGTAGTTACTAAAAGAAGCTACTTCGTATTATAAGAAATTAAAAGATCTTATTTATTACTAGATATAACCGGTTTCTAATAGTTTATGTTAAGTAAATATAGTAGTAACTAGTTTATATTAAATTCTCTTAAATTTACTAAGTTTATACTAGTAATAACTATCTTTTACTAGTTATTACTAGATAATACCGGATAACTCTAGTAATTCTTAGTATAGAAAAAAACTATAATAATATATATAAAATTATCTTTTATAGTAATTTAAGGCCTCTCTAGAGATAGGTATCTTATATTTCTTAGCTCTAAGTATTAAAGTTATATATTATAGTAGGGAATCCGGTTGTATGTACATAGAGCAGATAGTCTGTTGAGGTACATATGCCTGATGGTGGCCTTACGGTCGGGAGAGGCTGTTTGGACATAACGAGAGGGAGTCAATCAACTTAACAACCATGCAGACAACCATGCGGATGCGAAGGACATGATGCAACCATCGGATTAAACGGCTTCAAGGGAGTTCAGTACAGTCTTTACAGTCGGATTCTTTTGCATTGCAATGACACACTCTTTTTGATCTTCCTCTTTACCTCCTGACATCCTACGGTTAGGTGTTGTACGGTCGGGCTGGTAGATCTCAGGACGTGCGTGCTGGTGGTTGTGGTTTGGTTCCTCTATGACTCGACCTGTCTGGTGAGATCAGACTGCCTTGAGCATTCCCCTCTATAATATATAAATTAACATATATTAATCGCTAATAAGATAGATAGAAGCCTCTTTCTAATTACTTCTAATATTAACTAGTTTTAATTAGTAGCTACTAGTTTATACTAGTAATACTATATCTAATATAGTACTACTATCTACTATTTTCTAATTAGTATTTCTAGCTTTTACTATATACTACTAAGTAACGCTAGATCTTCCTATTTTTTATAAGTAGTATCTATAATTCCTATAAGAGATCTTTTATCTATCTCTACTGTTATATTAAGAATAATACTAAGTAATTAATTATTTATAGTATAAAGAATACTCTAATTATAATTATCTACTACTAATTCTTACCGGTTACTACTAGTTTACTTACTTAACTATCCTATATAATAGAGTCCTACTAGCTATTAGTAACTACTAGATAATTCCTACTTCTATCTTAAGTTACTAGATAATTCTAGATTCTACTATTTACTACTAGTTATATCTACTTTCTATTAATATCTTAAAGAAAATTTTAAATTTTCTTTTAACTCTAACCTTTAGTTAATAATAATAGATAGTATACTATTAATTATATATAGTACTAAGAAGACTAAAGTAATACCCCTTTATTACCGAGTATTACTAGTAGATCTTAGTTTCTATTAGTAGCTATTAAAGAGGAGAATACTTAAGATAGTCTGATCTTACTAGATAGATCGAGTTATTATGATCCTAGGCCTATAGCTACCTTAGGTACCCTAACCCTTCCTTTTCGCGATAACTAGAGCTAGATAAGCTATAACCTTACTTTATAGCTCTAGTCGGTTACGTAGGTACCCTTAGTCCTCCGTATATATATATTTACGCCTATAGCTATACTTAGAAGAACTATATCCTATCTACCCTCTAGATCTTATCTAGTAGTAAACCCTTATATTAGCGAAGCCTCTATACTTAACTACTTAAGAGCGAAAGCTTACTTAGAACTACCCCTACTAAGCTCTCGAGACTAAATAATTACTAAGGATCTAGCTTAAATTACTAACTACTTATAGTACTAAGTAATCCTCTTCTAACTATACTAAAAATTTTAAAAATTATATAATAGTATAAGAGAGGGTCTAAACCCTAAAAAACTCTACTCTATTATAGTCGGTATATAGGATATCCTTCTAGAAGAGATCTAATCTTTAAGTAGTTAAGTAACTAGAAGTAAAACTAGAAGAGAGATATCCGATTAGAAATAAAAGCTTTCTTATTTAAATAACCTATAATCCTTATTAACTTATAGAATATAAAAGTATCCGGATCTCTTCTAATAGAATTTAATATATAGGAAAACCTATATAGTATAATCACGGGCCTATAGCTACCTTAGGTATCCTAACCCTTCCTTTTCGCGATAACTAGAGCTAGATAAGCTATAACCTTACTATATAGCTCTATTCGGTTATATAAGGACCCTTAGTCCTCTATATATATATAGTTACGTCTGTAGCTATACTTAGAAGAACTATATCCTATCTATCCTCTAGATCTTATCTAGTAGTAAACCCTTATATTAGCTAAGCCTCTATACTTAACTACTTAAGAGTAAGAGCTTACTTAGAACTATACTTACTAAGCTCTCGAGACTAAATAATCCCTAAAGATCTAGCTTAAATTACCGACTACTTATAGTATTAAGTAACCCTCTTCTTACTATACTAAAAATCTCGAAAATTATATAATAATATAAGAGAGGGCTTAAACCCTAAAAAATTCTACTCTACTATAGTTAATATATAGGATATCCTTCTAGAAGAGACCTAATCTACTAGTAGTTAAATAACTAGAAATAAAACTAGAAGAAAGATATCTAATCGGAAATAAAAGCTTCCTTATTTAAATAAACTATAACCCTTATTAACTTATAGAATACTAAAGTATATAATCCTCTCCTAATAGAATTTAATATATAGGAAAATCTATATAGGACTTATACTCTATATTCTAAACCTCTTATACTACTCCCGGAACCTTCTCGCTAGCTAACGCCTAGTATACTATAACTAGTATCGCTATTAACCGGTAATACTCTAATAATCTTACCGGCCGATATAGCCGAATCTCTGCGAGGCTCTTACTAAAGTATCCTTAATTCTACTCCTTAGAAGGAGATTATCTATTAAGCTATCTTCGACTAAATTATAACTACTTAATATCTCCTAGGATAGATACTATAGATATATCTATCTCTAGCTAATTAAGATAGTACTAATATATCCTAAGAATTTAGTATAGATACTACTATCCGAAAATAACTAGTTAAAATAGTCCCGAAAATTAAGGATTATACTAGTATAATTAGGAATAATAGAGCTAGAGAGTATCTATATAACTATAAATACTTCTTTATAGAAGTAAGCTAACTCTCTAACTCGATCCTCTAGGACTTAACTAAGATTATATATATATCTAGAGCCCTAGTAGATAATATATAGAAAGTCTACTATATCTAGTCTAAATATATTAATCTAATATATAGTATATAATATACTACTACTTAGGCTAAGTTCCGAGAATAGATTAAATATAAATTCTCGGAGTAAATCAGCGCTAAATATAGACTTAACTAACTTATAATCCATAAGTAAAACGGCTAGTAGGGATTCGCTAAGTATATCTACGACTTATAATAGCTTATAGCTAATTATAAATATAAATTCCCTAAAGATCTTATTATTTAATTCCTTCGCTAAGGCGCCTATACCGAACTCTAGAAGAAGTAGGCCGAGGATCCTAATAAGCCTATAATCTTATATAGTATTATTAATCGGTTTATCTAATATAAGTAAGATACTATAATTATAAATTATATTAGCCGAAGGAACTAGGATACTAATAGTAATATCTATATAGACGGTCTTAATACTATAAATAGCGATATATATATCTACTATAACTATAGCTAAGTAGGCTATCTTAGATTTATCTATAAGTAAAAGTATAACCCTAGAAGCTTTTATAGCTATAGAGATAGATATAGATATAGAGGATAAGGAGATTACGGTAATAATAGTAGCCGCGATTAGAGCTAAGCGGATTAATTAAAGCCTAAGTCTAAGGAAAAGGATACGGATAATAATAATTTAAAAAACTAAGCTACTTAGATAAGATAGATATACTTATCTAATATATAATAGTAGTATTAGAGAGCTAGGACTAGCCTAATAATAATCTCTTAGATCTCTTATAGGCTAAATAGACTACTAATCGTAATAGTACTCTTACTATCCTAGGGAATAATCTATTAATATACTAGGCTTATATTAGTCTCTTAGTATAGAATATTAATATATAGGCCCTACTAGATAGTAGTATCTTATATATATTTATATCGAAATTAGTTTTAAAGAAGTATAGAAGCTAGCTTCTTATAATATATAATAAATATATCTTATAAGTTAAGCTTCCTAATAGATAGAGTATATAGTCTAATACTTCTTACTAACTACTAATATATATTAATAGTTAGTAGGGGTATATATAAG